CAGACTTCCTCGGTGCGTAGTGCCCCGGAGCCGTGGAGAGACCCGGCACTGGCTAAGCACCGTAAACTGTCGGCCCCGGAGCGCCAGGCTAGGCCCCGACACCGATCATCCTCCCGGTGCGGCCCCCGGCACAGCCTAAAGGAAGGCGCGGTCGTTCCCCGCACAGGAGGCTGGCGCCTCCCAAGGCCCCGAGCGCCGACAAGAGCGGGAAGGCTGCGGTACCGGTGCTGATGCAGGCAGTCCCAGCAGCACAAGTCCCCCCGAGCCCAGACCTAAGTGAGCTCAGTGTGGACGATGGGCTCGAGGGCATAACGGATCAGCCCTCTGCGCCTGGCACCTTTGAGGCTGCAAAGGACCTCATTGAGCTATCGGCAGCGAGCTCTCTCCCATATGGGGAAAACCCTCCGGCGCCCATGCCTCGGGTGCCGTCAAGGGATAAGCTGGCAATGGTGTGCTGCTTGAGGACACCGTCCCGGTGCTGCTCCCGGAGTTGGTCCCGGTTGAGCTCCAACTCTGCAGACTCGCACTTGCCAGCTGCCCAGAAGGAGATTGCGGCACCGGCAGCGGGTCGACGCGCAGAAGAAGCACCAGAAAGGGCACGCCGCTCTCCAGCACTGTCCAGAGACTGGCACTGGGAGGAGTCAAGACGGCCCTCACCAGAGGTCTCCCACAGACGGTCCCAGTCCAGGGAACGCTGGCACCGGTCCTGATCCCGGTCCCGGGGATACTGGTACCGCTCCCAGTCTCGCTCAGCCAGGAGCTGCTCGTTCTCCCGCCGGCGCAGATTGTTGGCACCACCATGGCCTTCGCGATCGGCGTCGCCACAGTCCGGCGCCCACTCCAGCCGCTATAGCTACCCGCACCGGGGCCCAGAAAGCAGGGACCCTCAAGGGAGCTGGCAATCTCAATGGGGGCCGCCAGGCCATTGGCTCTTCTGGAACCCCTGGGCCTATCAGGAGCGCCAAGGGGCTCCGTCCAGGGCAAGTTACTCGTGCAGTGGTCCTGGTCCCCACACCGATGCCAGACGGTGCCGGAGGCAACAGTATCCAGGCCTCCAGCATAGACCAGAGAGTCCAGCACCAAGCCCGGTGCCATCCCATGGACTCCCATCCCAGCCTGAGCCGGAGGCCCCTACCACCGGAGATGGGGAGCAGGAGGACCAACCAGAGGGGGTCGAGTGGCAGCTAACCTCCTCGTCTTCTCCCGATGAGGCGGTGGTGGGTACAGAGGTGTCCGGCCCTCCGCTGATAGACCATGGAGCCCACCAGGAACTGTTGCGCAGAGTCACCCAAAATTTGGGGTTGCAGGCCAAGGAGACGGTTGAGCAGGAGAACCCCATGGTGGACATTTTGAGCCCTGAAGGTCCATCCAGAATAGCGGTCCCGTTCATTAAGACCATCCAGTCTAACTATAAGACTATATGGCAGACCCCGGCCTCCAGCACTCCAACGGCTAAAGGAGTGGAGCGTAAGTACTTTGCCCCATCTGAGGGCTATGAGTTCCTGTTCTGCCACCTGAGTCCATGCTCCCTAGTGGTTTCAGCAGTGAACGAAAGGGAGCGCCATGGTCAGCAGGCTGCAGCCCCAAAGGCCAAGGAGGCGAAACGGCTGGACCTTTTTGGTAGAAAGGTGTACCTGGGGGCCTTCAGCTGAGGATTGCTAACCAGCAGGCCATCCTCAACAACCACAATTTCAACTCCTGGGCGGTGGTGGGGAAGTTTAAGGACAACTTCCTGCAAGGTTCCCAACAGGAGTTCACGGCCCTGATGGACGAGGGCAAGGCAGTAGCCAAGACGTCTCTCCAGGCCTCCCTGGATTCGGCAGACGTGGCAGCTAGAACAATCGCGTCGGGGTGGCATGAGGCGCTCGGCATGGCTCCAGGAGTCAGGCCTGCCCCAGAGGGCCAGAATACACTCCAGGACCTCCCCTTCGAAGGGCCCGGGCTCTTCTCAGACCAGACAGACTCGAGGCTGCATAAAGTCACTGGGTATGCAGACCCCTGTGACTCAGAGGAAGCCCTTCAAGCCGCAGCCTCCCCCTCAACACCAGTACCAGCCTCGCCATAGGCATGATCCTTACTGTAGGTGAGGCAGGGATAACAGGCGACGGTGCAATAATAATAATAATAATGCGCCGGGCCAGAACCAAGGCAAGTCCCAGCCGGGCACTAAGCCAGGCTTTTGAAGGTGCACTAGAGGACAGCGTACCAGACCAGTCACCGGATCCGTCCCTTTATTTCCTGAACCGCCTGTCCCGTTTCTCCCGTGCGTGGTCCATTACATCAGACTGTTGGGTCTTACGCATGGTGCGGAACAGGTAGTCACTGCAGTTTGCCTTCCTCCCCCTCCCCCCGCCCCCTCACCCCCCCGCCTGGTCCCTCTTCAGGAACCTCTCTCATGAGCATCTCCTAATCTCCTAGAGCAGGAAGTCCGCTCGCCGCTAAAGGCGGGGGTGGTAGAGGCGGTGCCTTACGGCCTAAGGGGAAAGGGGTTCTACTCCCGGTACTTCCTCATCCCCAAGGCCAAAGGGGGCCTTCGCCCCATCCTAGACCTGCGCGGGCTCAACAAGTTCCTGGTCAAGGCCCGGTTCCTCATGGTCTCTTTGGGCACCATCATCCCTTCCCTGGATCCAGGGGACTGGTGGCTGCTGGGCCACATGGCAGCATGCACGCACGTGGTCAGGCATGCCAGACTGAGACTCAGGACTCTGGAGGCGTGGCTCGCCCAGGCAGGGACCCCCGGACTTGGTAGTGACAGCCCCAAGGGATGTGCTGGACTCCCTGCTGTGGTGGCAGTCCCAACCTGTGGTTTGCAAAGGCATCCCCTTTGCTGCCCCACTTCCGGACCTGACTCTGGTAACAGATGCGTCAGACCACGGATTGGGGGCTCACCTGGGGGACCTCATGATGCAGGGATTGTGGTCCGAGGCAGAGCGGTCGCTCCATATCAACGTGAAGGAGCTCAGGGCAGTTTGTCTCGCCTGCCAGATCTTTCACACCACTCTGAGTGGTCACAGCGTGACAGTTCTGACGGACAACACTACTGCCATGTTTTATATAAACAAGCAGGTCAGGGCTCGTTCCTCGCCACTCTGTCGTGAGGCTGTCCTCCTCTGGGACCTTTGCATAGCCTATGCAATTCACCTCGAGGCATCCTATCTCCCGGGCGTGCGGAACGAGCTGGCAAACTCCCTCAGCAGGTCGTACCGCGTGCATGAGTGGACGCTTAGGGCAGACGTCGTGCTTTCGCTCTTCCACAGGTGGGGGGTTCCCCAGGTAGATCTGTTTGCCACCAGGGCCAACACCCAGTGCCCGGGTTCTGCTCGTTCCAGGGCCGCAGCCCGGGCTCACTCATGGACGCGTTTGCGATCCTGTGGAGAGGGGGCTTGATGTATGCCTTCTCCCCGCTCCCCTTGGTGCACAAGGTCCTGCTCAAGGTGCGCAGGGACAAGGCGGCAGTGATCCTCATCATCCCAACCTGCGCCACCAACACTGGTACACGTCGCTCCTAGAGCTGTCGGTGGAGGCCCCAGTAGTCCTGCCCCTACACCGGGACCTCATTACACCGGTCGGCAGGCGGCTTCTCCACCCTGACCTGCAGTCACTGCACCTGACGGCATGGAGGTTCTGTGGCTAAATGCCCTGGAGAGCCAGTGCTCCCTTCCTGTGCAGCAGATTCTGCTTGGCAGTAGAAAGCCCTCTACCAGGGTGGCCTATATGGCCAAGTGGAAAAGATTCTCGTGTTGGTGTGAACTGCGAGAGGTGCAGCTGGGCCAGGCCCAGTGCAGGCCATTCTGGAGTACCCCTCACCTCAAGCAGCAAGGGCTAGCCCCATCCTCGCTCAGAGTGCACTTTTTTAAAAAAGTGAAGTTAATTCATATCTGAAGATACATGAAGATTTGACTTTGCATTGTGTGAAATTAGTACTGAACAATGAAAGACTTGCTCGCATATTTATGTTTTAATTCCCCTGTCTCCCTATTGTTGTATCTCAGTGTACCATTGGATGAGTTCCAGACTCAAAGGATTCTTTTTAAGTCCTTCTGCCATACAGCAATTGCTACTGTTTTGTGGTCTTCTCAACCAAGATTTCTACCCTTTTGATGTTGAAATTGATTCTCCTCCTATTATGTGAAGATATATAGTGGGAGTCCTGTCCTATTGCATGAGAGTTTGTGATGATAGCATCCAAGTTGTGTAGGAAGCATTTTTTGGGGGCAGGGAAGGGAAAGCAATAGAAGTAAGCATCATCAAGAGACACAGTATGTGTGAATGATGCTGGGCCTATCCCTCTGCTGTCTACTAAAAAGTCTTCCAGAGTCTCAAAATTACGTGCATGTAATCCAGAGAACAGCTCCGTTTTCACTGTGCTTGAGTTTTGTTTTTTTTATTGTAAATGTACCTGAGTAGGGGGAAGACTTATAAAGGAGCCTAAAGATGTAGAGAGTCACTTAGTGCGATTTGCAAAAGCCAAGTTTAGGTACCTAACTTGCCCTGAAATAATTTGTAAATCCTACCAAGAACCAATCTGTATCTTTAAGTCCTAACTATCTGTATTAATCTAGATTTGTGTTTTGTTTTTCTTTTCCCACATGTGAATGTCTAATTTATGGCATAATTTAACCAGTGGTGTTAGAACAATAATTTCTATTGCTATGACAAATACATTAAAAAAACCCAAGTTTTGTTCAGAAGAAACCCATACTTTGGATCAGATCTTGCTCCTTTTGTAGTTCTTGGGACCAGGCATTGGCTCCTAATACACAGTATATATGAACGTCAGAATACTGAGCCAAATTTGACTTTACATTAAGGTCCCATTATACCACTCAGCCTGCCTACAGGGGCCTTAACATAACTGAGAATTCAGGCCATGATGTTCTCCCCTCTATTCTGAAACTTGGAAGAGCTCAGCCTGGGGAGTTATGCCATTCACAACTGTTGCGTTTGCAGATAAATTTCAAATTAGGAATAACACCTATTTCCTTCTGAATGTTTTACAGTTGAAGATAACAGCCTGTCTCAAAAGAAAAAGATAACAGTGGAAGATCTGTTCAGTGCTGATTTCAAAATTCATGACCCAGAGGCTAAATGGATAAGTGGTGAGTCTTGCATGCACACTTGACAATAATTCTACTCTCACTTATTCTTTCCTCTCCCTGTCTTTCTCTTTCCCTCCTTTTCTCACTTTTTCTTCTGACTTGTGTCTCTAGTGTCCAAATTCTTACTCCAGCTTTCCTCAGGGTAAATGTGTAAATGATATTTCTCCATTATACACAGCATCACATATGTGTCAGTAACACCTAGAGGCCCCAATCAGGGCTGTTGGTAGGTGCTGTTCAGACATGAAGTGAAAAAAACAGCCCCTGACCCAAACAGCTTACAATCATGGTAGCTGACAAGATGGAAGAGGTGGTCAAACCAAATGGTTAGAGCACTGTCATGGTCAATCTTTATTTTACCATAAACAAATCTTCTGATTTATATTTTCATAATGTATTCCCTCGCCAAAATATTTTTTCAGGCAGAGAGATGAAGCGTTGCTAGGCAACTAGCAACAGAGTGGTCCAGCAACAGCTGGTCTGCTCCTTGTATGTAAGCCATGTTTTCTTTTTATCCTGTCTTACAATCTATATTTTCCAGTACCAAGGGGAAGAGACAGAATAATACCAGAATTAATGCACACCATATTTGCAGCAGTGGAAATTGTTCTACAGATGCAAATTCCAGCCCCCCACTGGCATCTGCTACAATCTAAATCAGCTCTTGCTGGAATGAAACAACAACGTGCTATACAGCTCATTTAGGGCTGACTCTCATTAAATTGAACGGGAACCTTTCTATTGACTTTAATGGGAGCTGAACCAGGTCCTCACTGCTGCAGTCTGCCTTTTTTTTTTTTCTTTTTTTTTTAGGGGTTCTACCCTGTGGGAGCAATTTTAATCCCCGGAGGGGGTGGGGAGAGAGATTGCCAAGGGAAACTAGGCTGGATCAGTGCATCCCCCAGTCACCCTAAGCGCATCCATCTCTGGCCAGCCCCATCCACTCTTTTCTGCTGCACTAGCAACTGGTGGAGAAGCCACTGCAGGCAGTGTATGTCACTACAACCCATCGGATATTTGCCAGAGGAGTTCTGGCTGGTGAGTGCCCTTTTTCAGGTTCTGCACGCTTGTTGGAATATGGCTCCCAGTACAGCAATCTATGGGGAGAATAAAGGTGGAAATACTTCTTGAATTTAGGAGTTCAGAAACCGTTCTTCAGCATTATTATTTAACCTTTTCATGTCTAAAGGCCCCAATCAGGAGGGGGCGCCACTGCTCTGGGCACTGTACAGACACCTATTACGAAACATTCCTTGCCCCAGGTGAATTTGGTTGATCTTTTTGCTTCATAATATTCTGTTCCTATGAATATTTTTGCCCCTAAACTCTGCCACTCGAATATTTGTGGGATGATAATGCAATATATATTTTTTATTGGAACAAACATCAGGAGAATTTTCCAGCTCCACTTAGAGGTTTTCAAAAAATATTTTCTTTCATGATTAAAATGTGTTTTTCTGCACAGTAATGTTCTTTTTTTCCCCCCTGTGCAAATATAAGCTTTCCCAAACTGTGTTTGCATGCTGGTACTGTCTATATGTTTTTATTAGCCTCTAATTTTTGGCAGGCATTATAAGTCCCACATTGAATTGTTGGTAAAGGTCTGGATCCAGTGCCCACTGAAATCAATAGACTCTCTTGGACTTCAGTGGGCTTTGGATCATACCTAAATAATCTAAGGTTATATAAAAGTAAAAAAAATGATATTAAGCTGTCATTGGTCAAGCCATTATAAACATGGCTGATTAAATGATTTTCCCTTTGGTGCTTGTTATAATAATTATGTATCAGATTCCGTTGTCAGGTACACCAGTGTAAATCTGGAGGAACTCCATGAAACCAGTGATATTCCTTTAGATTCACACCAGTGTAACTGAGAGCAGAGTCTTGCGGTAAAATACTATAATGCTCTTCATCCAAGAACCTCAAAGCACTTTACAAACATTAATTAATTCTTACTACATCCCTTTGGATAGGGAAATATTACACTCTTTGTACAGCTGGTAACTGGTAAATCAGGCTTACGGTGACCAATAGCTCAGTGGAAGAGCTTGAAATAGAGCCCAGTAGTCCAAAGTTCTAGTCCATGCTTTGCTCACTCCACCATACACCCTGTGTCCTGTTGTACCACTGTTCTTGGTTCTCAAAATGCAAGTTCGTCTTCCCTCAGGACTCACTGAAGAAGCCTATTTCACACTAACACAGCTTAGTAGAAAATAGTGCTGAAAGATGTGTGTCAAAGTAGGAATTAATGGGTGGAAGGAACCCTGGTTGTTTTGAGATTCCAACAAAATAATTGAAACCATAACAGCGTCTTATATCCTTGTCCCCATTTTTCCCCTCTTGTTAACAACACAACATAAACCACTCTAATGTAAAGAGATCTGAAAACTAGATTGCAAAAATCGATGCTCTTGGCTCTTTTCACATCTACCAGATTTCCTTTAAAGGGTATTACTCTCTCGCTTTATTTTTTGTGTTGTTATAAAAGACAAGAGTTTGTTAGCCTAGCCAATGATAAGCACGTTGCATGGCTAGGAGTATTCAAATTGTCTCAATTATTTGCTTTCAAAGCAGTTCAGCCAATTAAATCCCTCAATTCTGATCCATTTGCTTCAGTGGGGTTTTTTTGGGGGGAGGGGGTTGTCTTTTCATTGATGTCAGTGGGCATTGGATCAGGTTCTAAAGCCCCAACACAAGAAGGCATCTCTCTTCAGGACAAAAATCCCTTTGAAGTAAATGGAACATGCGTAAGCACTTTCCTGAATTGGGGCTTGAATGCAGAAAGTGTGTGGTTCTGACCTACACCGATGTAATCCCATTGATTTAATAGTAGTTAACAGAGAGAGTTAATTCATGGTGTCATAAATATAAAGGGAAGGGTAACCACCTTTCTGTATACAGTGCTATAAAATCCCTCCTGGCCAGAGGCAACATCCTGTTACCTGTAAAGGATTAAGAAGCTCAGTTAACCTGGCTGGCATCTGACCCAAAGGACCAATAAGGGGACAAGATACTTTCAGATCTTGGGCCGGGGCGGGGGAGGTTTTTATTTGTGCTCTTTGTTTATGTGATTGTTCTCTCTTGGGACTGAGAGAGGCCAGACAGAAATCCATCTTCTCCAACCCATCCTAATCCAAGTCTCCAATATTGCAACCAGTATAGGTAAGCCAGCAAGGTGGATTAGTTTATCTTTTGTTTTATGTGAATTTTCCCTGTGTTAAGAGGGAGGTTTATTCCTGTTTTCTGTAACTTTAAGGTTTTGCCCAGAGGGGGATCCTCTGTTTTTTGAATCTGAATACCCTGTAAAGTATTTTCCATCCTGATTTTACAGAGATGATTTTTACCTTTCTTTTTTTTTTAATAAAATCCTTCTTTTAAGAACCTGATTGATTTTTCCATTGTTCCAAGATCCAGGGGTTTGGGTCTTTGATGATTTTGTAACTAATTGGTTAGGATATTATTCTCAAGCCTCCCCAGGAAAGGGGGTGTGTAGGGCTTCGGGGGATATTTTGGGGGAAGATATCTCCAAGTGGTTTCTTTCCCTGTTCTTTGTTTAAAACACTTGGTGGTGGCAGCATACTGTTCAAGGACTTGGGGAAGTTTTTAAACTAAGATGGTAAGAATAAGCTTAGGGGGTCTTTCATGGAGTGGGGAAGGAACCTTGACACATGGTATGCCCATATCTTGAATATTGTGTGCAGACGTGATCACCCCATCTCAAAAAAGATATATTGGAGTTGGAAAAGGTACAGAAAAGGGCAACAAAAATGATTAGGGGTATGGAACAGCTTGAACTTTTCAGCTTGGAAAAGAGATGACTAAGGGGAGGTATGATAGAGGTCTATAAAATCATGACTGGTGTGGAGAAAGTAAACAAGGAAGTGTTATTTACTCCTTCTCATAACACAAAAACTAAGGGTCACTAAATGAAATTAATAGGCAGCAGGTTTTAAAACAAACAAAAGGAAGTATTTCTTCACACAATGGACAGTCAACCTGTGGCACTCTTAGCCAGAGGATGTTGTGAAGGCCAAGACTATAACAGGGTTCAAAAAAGAACTAGATAAATTCACGGAGGATAGGTCCATCAATGGCTATTAGTCAGGATGGGCAGGGATGATGTCCCTAGTCTCTGTGTGCCAGAAGCTGGGAATGGGCGACAGGGGATGGATCACTTGATGATTACCTGTTCTGTTCATTCCCTCTGAAGCATCTGGCACCAGCCACTGTTGGAAGACAGGTTATTGGGTAGATGGATCTTTGGTCTGACCCAGTATGGCCATTCTTATGTTCTTATGAGATCAGAGTTGACCTCAGAGTGTGACATAGCTACACTTCAAGTGCTAAGAGTGCAGATCTTCCTCAAACTTTGAGTATCTCTTTTAAGTTGGTTTGAGTGGTTTTATTGTATTGGCAGATTGTTATAAGTTAGATGATTTTCTTAAATTCAAGAGGGGAGCCAAAACTGGTACTTTGGCTGTGAACCCTTAGAATTTTTGAGGAGTTGAGGTGTTTTTGAACTCATGGATTCAAACCCTAAAGGTTTTGGTTCCTGAATTCAGAGCAGCACAGGAATCTTCATGTCTCCATGACCCATCTTTAATAATTTCCCATGGTTTCCAGACTGCTGATTACAGGCGAAAAAGATCTAAATCAGCCCCACAAAGGTGTCTTCTGGGGGACAGGATCACAGCTCCAGCTCTCAGTGTGAGTAGGCACAGCCTTAAAGGAAAAAAATTGGCAGTTGTAGTGTGTGTAGCAATGTAAATGTAGGGAAGCAATGCGGTGGGCCAGATTCTGAGCTGGTGTAAAGCGCCACAGTGTCATTAAGTGCCAGGGAGCTGTGCTGATTTATACCAGTTAAAAAACTGTCCGTCTGTTTTCTGCACTTTCAGATCTCAGGAGCATCCCTTCCTTTACACAGGGTTGTGAGTCGTGTCCAGGTGGCTAGGTCACTGAGACTTACATTTGTTCTTTGTTGCTTTTCCTTAGTGTCA